ATCAAACTGCTAGATAGCTTTGACACATGCCATAAATCTCAATATCATCTGTGCAGCTCATGCTCTTCTCTGAATTTTAGGCATTGTTAGAATTTCCACCACCTCATTTATTAATGGAATATTGTGGCCAAAATGAAAAATGTAACCATCACCAAATCTGTTGTAAACATGCCTACTTGTGTTCTACGTCAGTGCTGCAGTTGTCTTTTGAAAACTAGGAACTTTTGAAAAAAGGAGTTATAGTGAATGCAGATAGAAGTCATATAGGTAATGTCACTGTTAGAAATTTGAATATGTTATAGTAATATAATAATGTAATGGAGGGGATGGATTAAATTAAGAAAAGGCTCATCAGATAAGAGGAATAACAAGCTAAAAGCTACAGTTAGCAATGTAGCTCCCTGCACAGCAAAAAAGGACATCTTGTGAAGTGAAAGGATCTTAAATCTAGTTAATATTTCTAATATCTAATACATCTCATTTTGAGATTGTTGTAACCTTATTTAATAAGTCAAATTATCCCACTAGATCATTTTGCTTGTTGTAAGATATTTGCTTGAAACAAGACAAATTATTTTCAAATATAGTGAGATAATTTACTAAAATCACATAAAACAAGGGAAAAGTGCCTATAAATAACTTAAACAATCTTAAAATAAGGCTACAATAATCTTAAAATGAGAAATATTAAACATGTTGACTAGATATAAGTTAAATTTACTTGCCAGGATGCAATTTTTTACAGTGTGGCTTCTTTTCTCTGGCCAAAAGAAATTCTGGTGTCCAATTTGTGCTGAAGAAACATTCAGAATTGCCGTTTGCTTTATGATTTTGTTCAACGGTAAGAGTTACACTAATGCTAGCGTGGTTGTATTTATTAGCAGGTAGTTCAGTGGCTAGGCTAACAGTCAGAGATTCTCAAAGGTATGGCATATTTCTGTAATGCATGGTGGGTACATGGAAAACATGGAAACCATTTGAAATCATGAATTCTTTCAAACTGATGAGGCTGAAGGATATAGTGCTGCACTATTTAAGCTAAATAGCATATTGAGTATGCAATTAAGATCAAAGTCTTATTTGTTCATTTATTTATTTCATTTACAATACTGGGCTTTGGACTTAATTTAGTGCATTTTGATCTGACCTCAGGAGACGGAGACTTTATCTTTAACGTATTTCAGTGTGTGTGGTTTTGGCAACACAAAAGTATGGGATTCTGTCCTCCGATCTGCACAACATATTACAATTTCATTCTGGACACACTCATGAAGCTGCAAAAAGATCAAAGCTGAAGAACAGGAAAGAACACATCATCGTACTACCCCTAGGACGCCTGTCAGGGTTTGTTTTGTAGCCTGGTTACACTATACAAACTGGGACCAAAGACCAAGGTAAACAATTGGTCTAGAATTTATGTTGAAATCATTTTATTTTTTACGATGCATCATCCACTATTTTGGGGCTGAAGCCCAGATCTTTTCTTATCATGCAGTGGCTTTCCTGAAACAAAGAACATTCTCCTTTTTTCACTTAAAGATGTGTCCTCTGAGAGGACTTTGCTCACCCAAACTGTAGAGGTCCAGCTAGTGCTCTAAGGGGTTGCTGGCTGAGCTGTGTACTCAAAATGATAGGTTCCTAAAGAGTTTTAATTAGTTCAGCATCAGCAGGAGAACCGCAGAGGAGTTTTTATTATTTGCAGCTGCTCACTTTGTCACATCTCTTTAGAATCCCTTAAGGAAATAAAAAAAAAACCTACAACCTACTGTTACACTTGACCAAAGGACACTGTTGCTCTAAGGCCAAGTTTTTAGCTGTGAGCTCTTAAAACATGTTCCTTATGGACCTAATGGAGTCCAGAAAGGGGTCGGAGGATGGATGCAATCGGTAATGAGATGGGGGATACTGTGATGGAGAGCTCTGTGTTCAGAGCCAGACAAAACAAGATTCACTGAGGAATTCTTACGCCGCAGGACTCCTACTGACACCTAGCCAGGTGAACTCCTTATGGCGTTTAGAAACAACTGAAATGTTGTCTCTGAGTGAATATATCCATATCTCATTGTTGTTGTAACAAAACGTCCCAGGAATGACAGCTTTGGGAGATGGAAAAATGCACTGAATATATGTGGTTTTACTAACATTTCATTACAAGTAGTTTTTAACTATTTCTATTGGATCATTTGTGATGAAATGTTTACACAATGTAAAGGGTAGCTGGTGTCTTTATATGAGATTATATATATATATATATATATATATATATATATATATATATACATTCTGTGACATTTCTCATCACTATCATGTCAATCAATGAACCTTGGTTTAATTTTTGAACTTTGAAACTTCTTGCTATTATCATAAGCATAAAGTGTTTTGTCATGAATATGACATCTTAAATCAATAGTGAGTGTTCTGTCTTAAAAATATCTTCACTCTATTTGCTTATAATAGATTATAATATGAATATATTAAATCAAATCCTTAATAGTGTTTACTGGATATCCAAAACACTGATGCAAGGATGAGGTGTTCTTCCTTTGGATGAAATCCGACTCCATCCAACATAAACATGACCATGGTCTTTTTTTTATAGCCTCCTGTGGGGTTGCCAGGTGTCAGGACAAAAATAACTGAAATCATATAAAAACTAATGTATGTGTCCAGTGACAGTTCTGGATGAGCTGTGTTTTGTGTTTCTCATTAAAACCTTTATAAAGAAAGTTTGACTTGTCCTGGAAGTTCCTGCCTTGCCTTTACGTGCATTCCCTGTTTTATCAGCTTCACTTACTATATAGGTGCACTTTGTAGTCATACAGTTATAGATTGTTGTCCATTGGTTTCAGTGTATAATCTGTTAACCTTTCTTTATCCATTCATCAATGATCAGGACCCCACAGGACCACCAATGAACAGGTATTATTTGGGTGGGAATGAAACCCATGCCCAATCAGGAACTAGAGGATGACAAACACAAACTGTCATATCTAACTTTTCATCTACAAGGTGGATCAACAAGGTAGGTGTCACACAGTGTCTGATCCACTCATGCCAGTGCAACACACTAACATGTTACTTCCACATCAGTGTCACTGCAGTGCTGAGAATGATCCATCATCCAAATAATACCTGTTCTGTCCTGACCATTGAAGAACAGGGTAAAAGGGGGCTAACAAATAAAACAGATAAACAGATGGACTACAGTCTGCAATTGTATGTGGTAAGCAGAGTTTATAATGAGTGTTGAGACAAGATGGGTGACCAGTGAATGTATAACCAAAGGAAATTAAGTTAACCTAAGGCTCATTATTCAGTAACTACAGGGAGTTCAATGAAAACTGGTGGAGCTGTTCTTAGGTTATAGAAGTGTGTAATAAATCATTGGTCATGTAAAGGGTTAGGTACTATTCTTCGCTTGTTAAGCTAAATATCAAGACATGCATCAGCAAAAAAGGTGCATCATGAAGGCCTGTTTAAATGAGAAGTCAAGAGAACAGAGTGAGATTAAAGTGGAGAGAATCAGGACCTAAAAGAACATGAATACTAACTCATACGTCCAAAAATTAATATGTCCAAAAACTAAATTTAGTATGAAAAGGGAAAATGGCACATGTTCTGATTGGTCTAAAGTGATGAAATTTTATGTAGTTGAGTTTCATTCCAAGAAGTTTGGATATAACAAGGTTTTGAAAGGAATAACAGCTGCTGTATGGTGGGAAACACAGTTTTACATCTGTAAAATGTGGTTTTCATCAGAACATAGCAATGCTATTTAACAATACTATTGTGTGTGGAAAGCCCACTCCCATCATGAAAATAAAATAATGAAAAAATTTAAATTCTGGAAAGTGTTTTTGGAAAGAAATCATTAGAATTTTTTCGAATACATGTCATTTTCATATTTTTATTAACAGTCTAATTTGAACTTTCTGTTGTTTTGTTAAAATCAGTATCCCATAAGACCAAAACCTTGAATTAAATAAAATAAATAAATTAAGTCATGAAAGCTCACTTTAAGCAGTTTGAATTTATTTATTTGTTTGTTTGTTTGTCTGTTAAGATTTGTGCTCAGACAATCTCACACAATATATATCATTATAATTAATTATTGTAGTTATGATTAATGAAATAAATTCGAATATACAAATACATTTTGTTTAGTAGGGATAAATGTTGCTAGTTTTATTTCTGTTCTGCGCTGCTCATTTTAAATAGCTGGTGCATTTCGTCACATCTGGGCTTCCAGGGGGATTTTATCTTGTGCAAACTGGCAACCCGAGGTTGCTGAGGCGCCTGGCTGCGCTGCACAGAGTACAGGAGCAGAGCGCGGAGGCTGAGGCTACTCTCTGCCATGTCTGGGATATCGTCCAGTGATAAGGAGCTGGGAAAACTTTTCCGTCCCTCCTTTCACTCCTTCTTAGAGGATCGCTCCGGCTTCTTCGTGTAACTCGGGGAACTTGATGATGGTCTTTAGCCTAATTACTTTTCTCTGAGTGCTGAGGTCAGCAAGCTAAAGCGGCTATTTCAGGTGGACTAAACTTTACTGTTCAGAGGATTACTGGACAGTCGGATGGAATAGCTGGATATTTTCTCGTGCTGATTGTGCGGCCTCCAGCGGCAATGAGTCAATGAATGCCACGTACATTTGAATGGCAAAGAACCGTTCTCCTAATGAGGGACCCGTCACAGGTAAGAGTGCTGAATGTGCATACTGGACGCTAAATAAATGCGGCTGTAGGCTGATCTACACTTGGCTTTCGGGAGCAAGTCCTCTTTTGTAGCTTGTCTGAAGCCTCTTCTGGGACTGGATCGTTTTTATTGGGAGCGGTGGGCTGCCTGAGTGAACTGAAATCAGTCATGGTTTGAAAGAGTTTGCATTCTGCTGCAGCAGGCGCTGGAATTTGCCCCAAAGGAATCTAATCATTAGACCTCTGTCAGTCGTTTGTTTTGGATTTATAATTTTCTTTCCTGAGTGAACTTCACTGAAATCCGTAAATATGGGGGGGAAACACATGCTTGGTGTTGCTTTTTTGTGTTTGTTGGCATGGGCAGCGTGTGGGTCAGAAAGTAGCCCAGCTGACAAACAAGCCAGCCTCAGACCCGCGGCCAGACTAAACAAAGTCCAGCGGCGAGCAGGCTCCCCAGTGCGAGAGAGGATCACCAACAGACGAGAGGAAATGCAGGGAGAGGAAATGCAGGAAGATGAAAGCATGCGCTCCACCAGGACCGGCCAAACCAGGAGAGTACCGACAGGGAGCAGTCCTATGCAGGGTGGGGCTCGAAACCCAGTCCAGCGGGACAGTAGTGTACTTGGAACACGGGCTGGGCTGTCCCGCATGCCTTCCAGTGCTGGTTCCCCAAACCTGTTAGCATCATTTGCAGGGAAAAATCGTGTGCTGGTCATCTCAGCCCCTCATGAGTCGGACGGCTACTACAGGCTGATGATGAGCCTGCTTAAGCCAGATGTTTACTGCGAACTAGCAGAGCGGCATGTGCATCAGATTGTGATTTTCCATCAGGAGGGCGAGATGGGAGGAAAAGTGAGACGTATTACCAATGAGGGGAAGGTGATGGAGGAGCCTTTGGATACAACCCTTATTCCTAGGCTCATGAACTTCCTCAAGTTAGAAAAGGGGAAGTTTGGAATGGTTCTTCTGAAAAAAACATTGCAAGTTGAGGAGCGCTACCCATACCCAGTTAGACTGGAGGCCATGTATGAGGTCATAGACCAGTCTCCAATGCGTAAGATGGAGAAGGTCAGGCAGAAGGGTTTTGTGCAGAAGTGTAAGGGGGCAGGGGTAGAGGGTCAGGTGGTTGAGGGTGTCCCCAGCACTGGGACCCAAGTGGACCCGCCCACTGAGAGGCGACCAGAAAGAAAAGAGGTGCGTAAACCCTTCAGAAGACCCATCCAAACGACCACCACACAGGCTACTACTACAACAAGGCCTACAACTACTACCACAACCACCACCACGACTACTACAACTACAACCACCACCACTCGTCCCACTACAGTTACCACTACCACTCGCCCTACCACAACAACGACAACCACCCACCCTACCACAACCTCCACACAGGCCACCACCATCGCCCTGAAGACCACACCACTGGCCCCAAAGACCACAGCTGAGATTTACTATTACAACCGCAGGGACCGACACCATTCTAAAAAGACCACCATCCAGCCCACCACACCTTCTTACTATTACACCAAAGCCTATGTTGGGAAGTATGGGGACAATCATGTTGACAGAAAGGACAACAGTCGTAACAGGTATCCTGGTACCCTACCAACTCAACACAAGCCCAGCAAAGCTAAACCATCCAAGAAGAAAAATGGCGAGAGCGGACTGAGTAATGCATATGAGGATAAGCATGAAGTTGGCAAACCCACCGACACTTACCCTGAGGAGAAAGAAGTTGAGGTCGTTCCCACCAAGAAAGGCAAAGGCAGGCAGGACAAGGCAGAGAAGAAGAAGAAAAAGGACAAAGCTGACAAGTTGCCAAAGAAGGACAAATCAGAAAGGAGAGGAAAAGAAGGGAAAGGCAATAAGAAGAATGGAAAGAAAGCTTCCAAGACACATGAAAAAGAAAAAGAGGAGTACCAGAAGCCTACAAAGAAACCCCCACCCACTAAAGGAGCTCTGGCAACGTTCTTGGAGTATTTTGAGAACAGAAGACGGCTGATTGTAAGTGCAGTAAATAGTAATAGAATAATACTGTACTTCTTGGCAAGTCTGAGGCAAGCCTTTTACTGTGTGTATAAAAACATTTGTGTATGTTGTATCTTCATACATTTGCTTATAGCTGATAACAGCTCCAACTGAAGAGAACAGCATGTATGTGCAGCAGAGGGATGAGTACTTGGAACATGTGTGTGAGATGGCCATCAGGAAAGTCTCCATCATTACCATCTTTGGCAGTTTGACCAACAGCACCATGAAAATTGACCATTACCAACTTGGTAAGCCAAAGATTTCATTGAACTGTGTTATTATATAGCAAAGGCAGAAACAAAAAAACAGTACACCATAGTGTGTATGTGAAATACAGTGGCGTCAAAAAGTATTACAACATTTCTGCCATACTTAAAAATGTATCAAGTTTATTTTGTTGGGGAACAAAACGTCAGACCAGGTGAACAGACCATTCCAGTTTTTTTATCGGCATTCGTAATTATTTCAAAAGGCCGCTGGTGTGTTTCAGGTCATTATTAAGGTTTCTGCAGGTTAGGGGTGGATGATATGATAAAAATATTATATTAATATATGAATATTATTCACGATACTTGAAGAGATTTTTTTACGATACATGATATGCATCACAATATTTAGTTTTTCTAAGATTTGATAAGTTGAAATAGACAAAATAGAACCTGTAGAACCACATAAAAATACTACAGTAATAACAATAATAATAAAAAATACCACTACTATTACTACTACTAATAATAATAACAATAATAAACCTATAATGACAATGAATTCAATCAGTGGTTTACAAACATTGGTGCGCTAAATCCAATTAAACAGGACTAATAATACTCACTTTGTTATGAAACATGTAGCTAGCTGGTCAGTGTGGTCATATTGCCCACCCCTACCTCAGATTTGCATCCAAAATGTTGTGTACATTTCTAAGTTTATGATCAACCCAAGCTCATTGGCAACATAGAAAAACATCCCCAATCTTTGATGTTTCCGCCTCTGTGCTTTTTAGTAGCCTTAGTGCAGTCTGGTTGGAGTTCTTTTCCAGGTTATCTCCTTGCACAGAGTCTACGATCAGTTTGATATTGTGCTAAAGGTTTGTTCTCTGAAACAAATATTATTTTCTTAAACATTTTATGAAGCAACCTAAAGAACTTTTACCAATGTTTAAATAGGTAAAGTGTCCAAATATTTTTGGGGCACTGTGTGTTTATATCCTGGTATGCAGATATCCAGCTACATCAAAAATTAGCTTTTTAAATCTTTAATATTTATAGCTGTGTTTTAATACTACTGTATACATATCCTCTCAACACTGCATAACATCTTGGCATAATCCCCCCTCATTCCTCTGCAATGTTAGGAGTGGGAGACTCAACTATAATTCCTTCTCACACTTTTCAGCACACTAGAATGTCTGCATTTTATATTTGCCCTGTTATCAGCCATAGCATAAAGACCTAATTTCACCTGCTATTTGAAAAAAAGACTGTGGAGTGCTTGTCTAATGTGTTAACATACACACATTTTTAAGCTTTCCACATGCCACTGCCAATGTGAACCGTGCCCAGGGAACAAAAGTCAGTGACATTTACAAAATACAGCAACAGCTTCCTGTTCTCGCAGCACTTGGTCTGCGGTTTGAAACTATGCGTGACCAGGCCAAAGAGGGACATTTTCAGTGGCCCTTTATTTTGTGTTGTGGATTAAGAGCTTTAGTGTGATACCCCAAGCAAAAAGTCACTTTGATCTGACAGTTGGCCTTTGGTAGTGAGTAAAAGCAGTACTTTTCCAGACAGTGACCTCATATGACACCGAGACAGAGAAGGAACCTGGAGTTTGGTCTGGAAATTGAGCTTTTTCAACTGCCCAAGGAACCTGGTGTTAGTGCGGGTAGGAGACCTGAGTCTATCTTGGCACTTATTCTCTTTAGTTTGTTACACCAGACATGGAAAAAAAAACCTATTGCTTTTGTATCCAATACTCTTAACTGGGGGAGGCTTAGTTCACCAAGAGCAAGAGAGAGTCAGCTGTTGGCAAAGCAAGTAGCTTTTATGGAGGGTATTTATACCAGTCCTCGGGATATACTTTTATAACAGGACTCTCTCATGTTAGCTTTTGCCCATTTAAAGAATGGACTGAGAAACATATGTGTTCCTAGAGCAGGAAATGTGTAAATTCTACATAAATAGCTTCTTTGAGCCCTTATTGTCACATTTTACACATATTCTGTTCATTTCACAAATGTACCCAAAGCAATGTCATTGTTTTCTACTTTTAGTAAGCTTATGAGCTTTAACAGCCAAAAATAATCTGGTAGACTGTGCAGTAAGCCGCAATTCCTAAACGTGATCAGAGATGACATCGCTGAGTTGGCTGCTAGTGAGTCAGTCGGCAGTTACACTTTTGTTCCACTCAGTCACCAGTCTGCTCTGGGTCTACTTGGTAGGGGTCACTTTCCCTGCCAGGGGATGGAAAACAAAACGTGTGAATGAGAAGTGAGATTGAAACAGGTGTTTAGATGACATTAGCATCCACCAACACCATTGCCTCTAAGGCAGAGTGGAGGCTTTTCAGTGAGGAGTCTTAGTTTGTTTTGGCTGTTCCATTGTTGAGTCTCAGTGTTAGGCTGTTTCAGTATTGAGTCTCAGTGTGTTAGGCTGTTTCAGTGTTGAGTCTCAGTGTGTTAGGCTGTTTCATTGTTGAGTCTGAGTCATAGTGTGTTAGGCTGTTTTATTGTTGAGTCTCAGTGTGTTAGGCTGTTTCACTATTGAGTCTCAGTGTGTTAGGCTGTTTCAGTGTTGAGTCTCAGTGTGTTAGGCTGTTTTATTGTTGAGTCTCAGTGTGTTAGGCTGTTTCAGTGTTGAGTCTCAGTGTGTTAGGCTGTTTCATTGTTGAGTCTCAGTGTGTTAGGCTGTTTCAGTATTGAGTCTCAGTGTGTTAGGCTGTTTCATTGTTGAGTCTCAGCGTGTTAGGCTGTTTCAGTGTTGAATCTGAGCCTCAGTATGTTGGGCTGTTTCAGTGTTATGTTTAAATTTTAATGTGTTTGACTGTTTCAGTATGGAGTCTCAGCTATAGCTAAGTAAGCTAACTTACAGAGTCTAAAGCCCTATTCAGATGGGATTAATTTTACCTAAGGAGGTGGGGTAATTATTACCGGCATTCCTCAGTGATTTTAATCCAGTCCAAATGTGCCATGTCAGTAATTTTTACAGACTGCACTCCCGTGTGAGTAAATATTCTGGCACCTTTAACCTTCTGTAAGACGAGCCATAAAAATAACCTTTATATTTTTTTATATTAGTTATATTAATCCCTTGAGAATCGACGTGTCGGTAAAACACTAGGATATCCTGTTGATAAGGAGTTTCATAAGTATGGAGGCACTCGAAGAAGCATTTACTTGTGTTCTCTGCCAAAGCTCAAGTTTCTTGTTCAAATTTTTCTATTCCATCTTAAATAGTGCGGCAAGTAATTATTATGATACCAGAATGTATGTGTTTATTCTGAATTCCCAAACTAATTGCGATGCTAATGACGCCCTGCGTTCACTGAAGACCGTAAGGTAAATGGTTTGGGTAAATGAAATAATGACTAAATTAAATTTTTTAACATCTTTTCTCCTCCTTTCTGGAGTGAAGTCAGCTTGTAAATCAAGTAGCTGCTCCCATTTCTGTCATTTAAACTGAGATTTCTTCTTATGCAAATCATTCATAAACATTATAGACGTCCTAAGGTAAACTGGTATTACCCACCTCCCCATGGAAAACTTATCCTGTCTGAAAAGAGCTAAAGTCTATTTTAGTGTTGAGTTTGAGTCACACTGTGTTGAGTCTAAGTCTGAGTGTGTTGGGCTGTTTCAGTGTTGAGTTTGAGTCTCGGTATGTGGAGTCTTAGTTTAGATGTGTAAAACCCAGTGTGTTGGGCAGTTTCACTGTTGACCCTGAGTCATACTGTGTTGAGTCTGAGCCTCAGTGTGTTGGGCTGTTTCAGTGTGGAATTTGCATCTTTATGTCTTTGGCAGTTTCAGTGTTGAGTCTAAGTTTCAGTGAGTTGAGCTGTTTTAGTGGAGAGTCTAAGTCTCAGTGTGTTGGGCTGTTTCAGTGTTGAGTTTGAGTCTCAGTCTGTGGAATCTTAGCTTAAATGTGTTGGACTGTTTCAGTGTTAAGTCTGAGTCTCACTGTCTTTAGCTCTTTCAGTGCTGAGTTGAAGTAGGTTTGACTGTTTTGCTGTGGAGTCAGAGTTTCAGTGTGTTAAGTCTAAGTCTCAGGCTGTTTCAGTGTTGATTCTCATTGTGTTGAGCTCTTTCAGTGTTGAGCCCTTTCAGAGTTGTTGCCTTGGTGTGTTGGGCTGCTTCAGTGCAGGGTCTGGCACGTGTGGGGCGTTCACAGGCTGCCAGCACGCTGTGATTGGTCCCATTCCATCAACAGGCATCAGAGACAGAGCAGAAAGGAAGTGTGTCTGACTGAATGGGCTGTGGTTGTGGAACCACAATTAAAGGCTTATTACTGTGGGTCTGTGCACTGCTGTACAGCTACAGTAGCCCTTCTAATTGGATACATGCATCATATACAGTCTTTCATTTTCTTGCTCAAGGGTGGCTATGATGTAATTCACCGTAACAGGGCGTTTTATTTATTTACTATTTTAAGGATATAATCAGCAGCAAGCTTTAAGACTGCAGTGTATGCCATCTTGTATGCCAGTGGCTGGATACACATGTAGTGTGCTGTAGAGGAAGACTGATACTCTTTAGCATGGTACTTTGAGTTGTTTTCCCATGAGGCTGAAAATGAGACATTTTGGGGATCTGTGGTGGCACAACTGGTGAAAATGGTTGCGTCATATTGTCAGAACCTATTCCCAATCCAAACACTGCCACAGCCATCTATGGTCTTGAGTCCAAAAGATGCAAAAAATCTCTATAGCATGTTTTACTTAGTGAGTGCTATGACCATTCTGACCAGCCTCTGATGTTTTTTTGACTTTTTGTTAAGGCTTTGATTAATCGCGACATTCACATGATCCAACAAATGGATGAAATGGAAAGAAAAATATCTAAATAATTCAGGCCAATTTTTCTTAAATTATGATATTTTTTTAATATTTTGCATAGCATACTGCAGCTGCAATGCGTAACAATAATATGGTATGTTTTAGGGATGCACCAATATGGGAATTGTGGGCTGATGCCTATATTTGATATTTTTCTTTATATGGCCAAAAAGTAGGTGGACACCTGTCCATCAGTCCTTCACTATGTGGCTAAATGGATGTGGACACTCCTCTTAATTGCAGAGTTCAGCCACACCCATTGCTAACAGGTGATAAGACTGGAATGGGTAATATTGAAGAGCTCAGTGGCTTTAAACGTGGCACTGTCATAGGATGTCACCTTTGCCACTAGTCACTTTATGAAATTTCTGTCCTGCTGCCCTGGTTAACTATAAGTGCTATAATTGTGAAATGGAAGTGTCTTGGAGTATCAACAGCACAGCCATGAAGTGCCTAAGATCACTATGCACAATGGCAAGCGTTGGCTGGAGTGGTGTAAAGGACTCTTGACCACTGGACTCTGGATCAGCAGAAACATGTTCTCTGAAGTGATGATTCACGCTTCATTATCTTACAGTCTAATAGACAAACCTAGCATTAGATGCATCAGATGCCAGGAAAAGTTACCTGCCGGAAAGCATAGTTCCAGCGAAGGTTAATGTTAATGCTACAGCATGTAAAGACATTTTAGATAATTATATGCTTCCAACATTGTGGCAGCAGTTTGGGGAAGTCCCTTTCCTGCTCCAACATGACTGTGCCCTGTGCACAAAGTAAGGTCCATATAGACATAGTTTGATGAGTTTGATGTGGAGGACCGCCTGTGGCCTGCACAGAGCCCTGACCTGTTTCAGCATGCCTGTGTCCCTGTGGACAAAGCAAGGTCCAAAAAGACATGGTTTGACTCAGGGCCAACTTCTTTTTAATGCTAATGGCATTAATATGCATTAATTGGCAACAAGCTCATATACACTGTTTGGCCATAGGTATGTGGACACCTGACCATCACCCCTGTTTGAGCTTGTTGGACATCCCATTCCAAAAGCATGATCATTGATATGGAGTAAATATATCCTGCCACACCTTTGCAGCTATAATATCGTCCATTCTTTAGGGAACACTTTCTACAAGATTTTGGATTCTGTCTAGGGGAATTTTGCCCATTTGGTCAAAAGAGCATTTGTAAGGAAAGGGCATTCTCCAAATCATTGCCACAAAGTTGGAAGCATATAATTGTTTCAGATTTTGCATGTCTGTGTATGCTGTAGCACCCTTCAATAGGGCCAAGCTCAACCCTAAAAAGCCAGACCATTAATCTTTCTCCACCAAACTTTGCGTTCCACCTCCAATGTTTGTCTATGGGGACTGCATATATATATGAGCTTGATTTTATACACTGTTAGCATTGCCTGTGGCTGAAACACCGAAACTCAATAATTAGAAGGGATGTCCACATACTTATGGCCATATAGTGTGTATATTATGTTTTCCAATGCTAATGCAGACACATAAACACTTATAAAATATAGAAATTGGGAATACATTTACCTGGATTAGCATTATCATACCTGGATTAGGATTAGCATTACAGAGAAATATAAGATTTCTTTTCTGTAAGGTTAAAAATGCAGTTAAACAAATAAAATGCTTACATTTTAGTGTCGTAGTCCATTGTCACCTACATATTCTCTTCTTCTAGAGTACAATAAATGCATTATCAGTTATCAGTTTGAAATATCGGTCAAATCTTAACATCTGTTTGATGTCAATTTTGTTGTTGATACTGATATCAACAATAATCATTGGGCATTGCTGTTATTCTGTACAACCTCATTTCCAAAAAAGTTGAGATGCTGTGCAAAATGTAAATAAAAACAGAATGCAATGATGTGCAACTCATTAAAACCCTATTTAAGGGTAAAAAATAGTACAAAGACAACATAGCAAATGTTGAAACTGAGAAAGTTTGTTGCTTTGTGAAAAATATATGCCCATTTTGAATTTGATGCCAGCAACATTCAAAAAAGTTTCAAAAAAGTTGGGACAGGAGAAACAAAAGACTGGTAAAGCTGTGTATTGCTAAAGAAAACACCTGGTGGAACATCTCACAACTAATTAGGTTAATCGACAACAGGTCAGTAACATGACTGGGTATAAAAAGAGCATCTCAGAGAGGCTGAGTCTTTCAAGTATTGGCAGGTCATGACCTTCGAGCACTCAGAGGGCACTGCATTAAAAACAGACATGATGCTGTACAGGAAATCATGCCCCAACTTTTTTGGAAACAGGGTTGCATATATTGTGCAGCTCTAGTGACGATTAACACAGTGCTAATAACTGGACAGTCGGTACTCTCCTCCCAACTCATTCAAATGTACACAGAGCAGCAGCTGTAAAAAGATATGAGGACTGGCCCACATGTCCTGGAGGAAGCAAACACTTGCCTTCACACACAGATTTGTTGGTCTTGTATGCTCTGAGTGTGAGACAGTGGGTGAGACTTGGAGATGACTAACAATGGAGCGATAATTGGGCAAACGTCTAGAAGGATTTAAGCTTGCATTAAAGAGCTTGGCACGTCATTGTTGTATTCCGAACAAGGAATGCCTACTGGAAATCCGAGTGAGAAATTCTTTGAATTTTGAGGAGGGCAAAACAAACAGCCGGGTTTGGCTGTGTCTTCCCAGACTGTCTCCCACATCCATCCAGTCTCCAGTGGGCTGAGAGGGCCTTTCACATGAGCTGCTGGGTTTTTTTATCTTTTTTTTTATTCTCTTTTTGGACAGGAGGAAGCTGTTCTCCCAGAATAAACACCCTTGACTGCCACCTCTAAGGGGCAGCACTTGTGTGCTGGTAATTTTCCATCTAGACAGAAAGCAGACAAGGGCTGAAGTGATTATTCAGCCTTTCATTGGTCCTTGTGGCTGTTTTTATTCAAATTTGTACTTTGTTCTGAATTGTCCAGTTAAAGGCAGCATTGGGTAAGCATTGCAGTATACTTTGCAAAACAATATGTAGTCTTACAGTATTTTGAGTGATATAAAAACTCAAGTATCGAGACTATATTATTTCATTATTAATATATTCTATGTGCAAAGTCCATTAATAGACTAATACAACATCAACATACATTGCTTTCTAAGTCGACAAGTTGGGGCTGAGAAGTTTTTTTTAATCCCCCGTTTGGTGGTTGGAGAGCATTGTGGATAACACCATCATTCCGGCCAACTAGAGACTGTGATTTGATCCTCTGTCCAGGCAGGAAGGTCACTGCTATAGTATTGAGTCCTTGGGCAATACTCTTAATGTCACATTCACATATGATTACTAATCACTCATGATTGTCTACTAAATATGTATTTGTAAGAGAATGATGAGTGAATTATGCTTTTTCTTCTTCATAATTCATAATTGTAGAGAACTGTAGAGAAACCAGAGAAGTTTCCTTTGGGAGGCATAATTTGTAGTCGAGACTAATAAATTACAATATGTCGCAATATGTCATATAGCAATAACTAGCATATCACAGATATTTCATGGTTAAAACTTAAAATTGTACTCTGCCTCAAGTATCGTGATAATATGGTACCATGGGTTCTTTAGTGATTCCCATGCAGTCATTACAATGCAGTCATTTTGCATCTTTCTATTCAGCTAGTCAGTTTGAGAAAAGGATTTTATGTCTTTGCAGAGAGCGACAGGCCTATGAAGGGTCTGCGGCAGGAGGATCTGGTGAACCAAGACCTCATCACAGACCTAAGAAAAGAGTTTGGAATGATCTACAACGATTTCTATATGGTCCTTACTGATATGGACATGAAATGGAAGGTAAGAATATTTAGCAGGGTTAGTTAGGTAAACAGTCAGAGTGGTTTGATGTGAAATGATCTGTTGTAAAGAAACTTACCGAGTCAGAATTGTTCACAGCATTTAAGCATTTAATGCCTTTATGAGCTACCTCACAGGTCATTGCATGAAATGATTAAAAATACACTGTCTGACATTGTTTTATGATAGTTTTGAGATAAGCTTTTGCCTTTAAATATTTTTTTAAATCTATTCGTGGTGGAGGGGTACATGCGGGGTGTTGTAGGGCAAAATTGTTCCAAAAGAAAACAAAGTAAATAAAATTGCTATATTTGAGTTGTAGACATTGTGACACCTGGTTCCTATGTCTACCGATGTAAAGAAATCTGGCTTGGTGAGTTTCTTCACAATGGACCATTTCAAAGCAAATCCCTCTGAATGACTCTTTGTACAACTTCATTAGACAGAAAATTTGAAAAAATGGTGGAATTCTCCTTTTACAGACAAGTGATCATAATGTCCTAGTAATGTCCTTTTATACAGCATGAGTTATGACCTTAATCAAGGCATTCCTGGTTTCATCGTGATCAATAACATGGCATATAGATGTTACCAAAATGTATTAATTCTGTGAAAGTAGAGGCTTTCTGTGTGAAATCTTCTGCAGTGATCTCGCGTTAGCGCTTTACCGCTGTAGATACTTTTGGCCTGGAATTTACACTTCCTCTCTGATACGTCTGATCTATAAACAACAGATAAGATCAGCTGAAACTCTGATTGCATTTGACTCTGAGTGAAGAAGGGCTACAGTGCTGTTTAGGGCACCCAGAGGAGACTGAGTCCTTCACTCAAAACCTCATAGTGACAGACACCGTGTAGTGCAACACACTTACATCACTACATTTTGACAGCGGTACAGCTTTTATCCTCAGTAGTTCTCAGTAGTGTGTTTATGTGTGCCAAGGTTAAAAATGAGAACCTGTTTGCACACAGCTGGTATATACAAAGAGGCCAGTGTGTGGGCAGCCGCTGAGGGGACATAGTGTATAGTCTCTTAAAACTGCACTGAGCCATGGCTAGCCAAGACATGCTAAAACAGCTCCACTTTCTGAAGGACAACTGCCTTAAAATCAACTTTTCTTTTCTCAGGAGAAATGAAGTATATTTCAACATTGTATTAATAAAGGATCACTGATTTCTGAATTCTCTCTCCCAAACACCCCTTTAGGAGAAAGAGCCTAAGATACGTATTTAACTGTAAGACATTCTTGAGACAGATAAGATATGCATGAGGTCTCCTTCTGCACTGATGGACTGCTAAAAGATTTCTGAGATACAGAAAACATCTGTATAAGAAAATGATGAGAGCCTATCTAAAAATTATTCAGCTAAGACTAGGGTGAGATAAATCAGCCACAAAAGTCATCTGTGAGACACTGTTTTGATGAAATTGAGACAATCCGAAGCTTGTTTATTTCTCAGGAGCCAAATTAGAGAAAAGTGCTTGAAGGGACACTCCAGCCAAAATGAAAAATGTAACCTTTTGTAAACATGCCTTCTTGCATCTTACAGTCGAGGTGCAGTATTTTGTGGTTTAAAAACTAAGAAAACCGTCTTGTGACGATGCTTTGAGTGATAATTTTGGGGAGAGCTGTTTAGAGTGTATTTTTTCGCTAGCTTGTGAATGCAGAAAGAAGCCAGATAGTTAAGGTTACTGCTGCAAAGTTAAGTTATAAGTTAAGCAAGTTACCCTTTATTAATCCCACAATGGGGAGATTCACCTCTGCATTTAACTCATCTGTGCAGTGAAACACCCACGTACACACCAGTGAATACACACACTAGGGGGCAGTGAGCACACTTGCCCAGAGCGGTGGGCATCCCTGTCCACAGCGCCCAGGGAGCAATTGGAGGTTAGGTGCCTTGCTCAAGGGCACTTCAGTCATGTCCTGTCAGCTCAGGGGATTGAACCAGCGACCTTCCAGTCACAAGGCTGGTTCCCTGACCTCCAGCCCACAACTGACCCCAAACACACCCCCAAACATACCCCCAAACACACCCCCAAACATACCCCCAAACAGCTGAACATATTATTGCAGCCGTGTAACGGCACTAAATGTCTTCAAATCATCATTACAATAGAGAGAATGGATTACTCTAACAAGAAAAATGATTCAACAGTTAACAAGCTAAACACAAAAGTTAGCAAGACACTTTACCTCAATTCGGGTTGTTTTCTTTGGCTGAAAGGGTAGAAATCTTGTCTCTGGTGCCATTTGTGCTGAATAAAGATAGAATCACTGTTGTCTTTACAGTTTTGTTTGAAGAGTGAGATAAGAGTTACAATAATGCTAGCAATAATAGCTTGGCTATATGTGGATCGTTCTACTGAATTGGTTCAAAGTGAGCCATCAGAACACACTTCAAACATTCCAATTTGTCACCATCAAAACAATCGTAACACTACCAAAACTTTGCCAAATGTTTCAGTAGTGACTGTTTCAGTCATGACAATTTAAGCTAATTTAGAGCAGAACTCAAAAACGCTAGCCAGTACATGACTAGCAAACACAGCCCTGAATAGTTTTACACACATTAAATCCTAGCATTTTAATTAAAACACCAAATATGTTTACTTTATTGCAGAAAATATGACACACATTAGACTTTGGGCTTTAACTGCTCACTATGTGGGATGCAGTCTCACTTCCTGCTCTAAAATGCAAGGGAGTGGCTTGAATAAGACTCCACCTGTGAATTAAAACTCTTTCTGTTAGTGATTATTTTCACATTTTGAAATTTTATGGTTAGGGTTTGGGACAGCCAACTCCCAATAGAAAGTACCCTATAAATGATGATTTTGTATAAATTTAGCTTATTACAAATATATATCTTAGTAATGCCTTAGGAACTAATTCAGTAGAATGGTCCATTTGTTAGCCAGTAGATCAGAGGCTAGGCTAGCAGTCAGGACTGGCTGCAGGGATTCCCAACGGTTGTATAATGTGTTCCTGAAATGCATGCTGGGTATTATAGTGATACAATAATCATAAACAAAAATCATATTAAACCCTTGTTATAGTCTGGAATGGCATGTGATTGCCAAACACATGGGATGAGAAACATTTGGATATTTCACTTTGTTTACTGCTTTGGATCTGGTCCTTCCTTGAATCGCCTGTTTATTGTGGTTTGAAGAAAAATCTTGAGAACTCTTCTGTCGATGTGTCGGTATGACAGGCCAAGTCACACACATAATTTTAGGCTTGGTTTGTTATTTTAGAGCAGCTCAGAATGCAATGAGATTTCCTTTTGCTGACTTTGCATCTTTTTTTCTGTGCTTCATTTTCCCACATCACTCCAGCAATTTTATGAAGTGCCAATTGCCATGAAGGCTGTGTTTGGCTACATTGACACATTCTCCTCTCGCATCCGAGAAATGGAGCAGCAGAAGCGAGATGGGGTGACGTGTAAAAAAGAGGACAAGCCACGGTCATTGGAGAACTTCCTGTCCAGGTAGCACACGCACACATCCTTCACTTCACCCATGTCTTCCTGTCTAAATGCAGCCTAAGTACCCAAATTCTCAGTGTTTCCTCATCAATACAGGCTTTATTTGCAATGTTATGCAATGATTCAGTTTAAGTTATAAACAGTTGCTGGGCAAGAGTGCACAGAAACATTTCCAGCATGCCATCACACACAGAGGTAGGTAGAGTAGCCTAAACTCATACTCAGGTTAATGTTTTGTTATTTCAGTGAAAGAATGACTCAAGTTGAAGTAGAAGTAGCCTAGCAAAAAAAGACTTAAGTAGGAGTTAAAAACTATAATGTCAAAACACTCCTGATGTACTGAGTTCCCTACAGAGCTGCAGTTGAACTTCTTAGTAACTCCAGCATCCATCAGCGCAGCAGCTCAAGTTTCTAATACTCTATTCTTCTCTTTTTGGGCTCCTTTTGGTCTACAATATGCCAAAAATGTTCAAGCTCAAAATTGGGAAGCACAAGCAACAGAAAAGTGCTGAATAAATGGAACAGAATGGAACTAAACCCAAAAAGAGAATGAAATGTCAACGCGTAGATTCCTGCCCTCATAAACAGACGTAGTAGAAGTAAAAGTATTAGGATTGCAAAAAAAAAACACAAATCCATCAAAGTTGTGCTTAAGTACATGGAACTGAGTAAATCTGACTAGTTCCAACCCACCTCTGCTCATACTTAATCAGTGAATTATATAAAAAACAGAAAAATTCAGTTCCTTTTGAACAATAAAGGCCAATCTGATTTCCAAGGTTTTTGGCTGCATCATGGCTTTACTGTTCATTACTCTCCTAATGATCCTAATGATCGCTGTGGTCCGAGACATGTCGTCATGGTTACAGTCTGGTAGTTCTTTTTATCTGTGTGATCTCAGGTTCCGCTGGAGACGCAGATTGTTTGTGATATCGGCTCCCAACGATGAAGAGTGGGCCTACCAGCAGCAGCTCTATGCACTGTCCAGTCAGGCATGCAACCTGGGTATGTCACACTTGTGTTTTTACTAAAAGTGAATAGCTTTCGTAAATGTGGAATGGATTTGTAGCTGGGTTATTATAGGTATGAATTTTTCATTATTTTTATTTATTTATATATTTATATTTTAAAAATGGCTTGTATATATATAATATATATAGTATTGCATTAATGGTAGTGCATTAATAATTTCAGTTTTGTTTTATTATTATTTCTTATTTATTTTATTTATTTATTTATTAACCCGTGCCAGTATCCGTTAGCGACATCACTACCCCCCCAATAATTCTTTTCCTTTTTTATTTTATTGTTATTGTCATTCAATTTACAGTTCAAAATAGTATGGATATCATATGATGTATTACAAGTAGTGATGAAGCTGTGTACCATAAGCTTATGCTTCCCAACCCCCCGCCCCAAACACCAGAGTGAAGAAACAATAAGTGCTAAAGAAGGAAGAAAGGAGAGAACAAAAATGGGGAGGAAAAAAGGAGAAAAAAAAAAATAATAATAATATGACAAGAAACAGCAGATAGATGGGCCTGAGAATAGGTTTTAGTTTTAAAATAAATAAAGTTATCCTAAATTGGGCTCTGACTTTTCCTTCCGATGAGTTTTACTGTTTTAGCAGCACTGAATTAGCACAAAAGAAGTTGGTGCTTAGTTAGCCTTCAAGCTTTTCTCAAAGACGTTTCCTTCCCCTGAGTATTTTTGGTTTGACATAGAAGGAATCCATTGCTAGATCAGTGCTTCAGTTCATTTTGCAATGGACAGTTTTGACTTGCTTTTTCTATTTTTTAAGCTTTGTCTTGTTTATGTTTGTTACAATTAAGAAATACATTTGACCACTAATTTTCATTTTTGTATTAGTTTTCATTAACTATAATAACCCTGACGTGTAGAAATTGTGTGCGGTTCCTGCACCACACAGCAACAAAACTTCATATATTTTCGCCGCTTTTCACACACTGAAATCTTTCCGTCTAGTAAATCTGTGTGCACACAGGAAAAGAACTAAGACTGATTCTCACTTGTCAGTCAAGGCTGATTGAAACCAGGCCGCTTTTACTGTAGCTCTGACCCGGCCAGCTTTTGTGTAGCCTTGGGATTTTTTGCTCTTAATATTTCTAAAGCATGAATTCGGAGTGGGTCCCAGATGACAGTATTGGCAGGACCATTACTGGGAATGAGCTTGACTGCGCACGCAACAGCTGTTCCGGTCTGTCACTTTGCCTCGTGTTCCAGTTATCCAGACAGCCACATACCTTAGGCTAATAAATCTTTGCGGCACGTATATTTGAAATATGGCTCTTTAATTAAGGGTGATATAGTGCACTCGCATCCTGAGCCTGGACAGATATGGTGTGAGAACTCTCACCATTTTTTATACAGCTGCACTTGTTTTTCTTGTCAGTCCCACTCCCGCTGACCCGGGACATGACCTTAGCTTTTCCACGGCCACACTTTGAACAGCAAATGGTAGGGTCTGAAGATAGGGCTGCGCTGCTTTCAGCTCAAGGCCTGCATCCAAAAGAAGACACATTCCACAATTGCTGTCTGCAGAGATCATCACACAAAATTATTCCCTTCAGTTACTGAATTATCAGCGTGAAATTAATCAGTCAGTCAGTGCCAGGTTTGGAAAACTTTGAAGTGAAGTGCTGACCATCAGTATTACCTTACCCTTACACTCTTAAAAATAAAGGTGCCAAAAAGGGTTCTCTGAGGCGATTCTATAGAAGAACCTATTTTGGTTCCCCAGTTTTTCTTTAAACAGCTCAATTAAAAACACTCAACTCAAAGATTATTTAGGGAATTAAACTTGCTTCTTCTATGGAATCGATCCAAATAACCCCTTTTTGGCACCTCTATTTTTAACAGTACTATGAGCCCCTTAAAAGCCCAGACTTATTACATCCTAAGGCTTATTAATCAGTAACTACATGGGAAGCAATGCAAAGTTTTTCTGGTAGAGTTTTTCTTAAGTTAGTGAGGTATGGAAGCATGCAGTACTTTCAGTTAAAAGGCCCATATCATAGATAACAGAGTTTAATATAATATGTAAACACTGTTAAAGTTTCAAAATGTACTGTTCTCTCTCCACTTCATATGCAGAAATTAAGCTGTGAACACAGTCAGTTTTGAAATCATTGTTTCTGTGATGTCACAAAAATCAATAATAATATCAATAACATATATCCATCCATTCAGCCTACGGCAGTTAAGCCCCACCCACTCACTCTGAAGTTACAAGGAGTGTTTAAGCCTGGACTGCTTTTTGGATGAGGCACGATACAGGGCAAACCAATCAGAACAGAGACTATTTACATACATCGGTCAAGGCACGATACCAACATCCCGATATCAGCTGATACTGTGTGACGTAAGCTGAGTATATACTGCTTGAACTGGCAGCGAAGGAGGCTCTGCTCCCACAGAGAAGAGTTACTGACTTCATGACAGTCGGACACAAAGCTGTCGGTCATTTCAAACATTCCGCCTCAACAGATTCCCACCAGACCCACACTGTGTGATCTTAGACCGTTTTCAAACAGACAATCACAACAGCTTCCCCAGTGTGGGTGGGAACACAAAGGCTGGAAAAACAGTGGCAGAAGAGTCAACGTTTCCTACCAAAGTCTGTCTATGCCAACTTGTGCCTACTGTGTTCGACTGAGTGGAATTACTGAGGTGATTTTTTTATTTTTTTTGTAAAATAGGGAGAGACCATATTGTCCTACCGTGTACAGCTTTATTTGAAACTGTATATGGACAGAGTGTTTTCCTACAGTGTGAGTATATAAATCGTAGGCTTTGTCCACTTTGATGGTCTGTTCAGATGTACAATGTGAGTCACCAAAGAACAGGATTTCTACAATCACACAATGTATGTCAGGGTTTAGAGGACATTCAGCTACAGCTCTATCAGCCAAACAAAAGACTTCAGATGTAAAACTCCACAAGTGCGCTCTTGATCCCTGTTGTCACTGTGCTACAGAGACAGATGTTTAAAGAGTAGAATCGCTTTTATGACGAGGAACAAAACCTGTTTTTTTCCACTGCAATGCTACTCAATCCAAGGTAACTAATATAGTATACCTAGCTAATGCACTCCATTTAAAATCAGCTAGATTGTAATGATTTAACTGGTAAGGCACTCATTTACACTAACTACTTTATTCTAGGTAGGTTATTTAGTATGGTATCGGACTCGGTATCGGCGAGTACTGAAAAATATGTACACATATTTGTACTTGATCTGAAAAAAATGATTTTGACTTTAAACCCGTAGTCTCATTTTAGAGATTGCTGTGGGACTACAATAGGAGGCGAGTAGGCATGTAACGTTTGTTTACAATGAATGGTTACATTTTTTATTTCGGCCAGAGTGTCCCTTCAAGTTAATCATTGAAAATTCATACCAAAAGATCAGCAAAGCTAACAGGCTTGCCAAACACACACACACACACACACACACACACACATATACACACACACATACACACACACACACACAAAGGTTCACTTTCCTCTCTGTTTGACCTGGCATTGATTACTGTACTCAGCTCTCAGTTCTGGCTCAATTGAATTAATCAAGCTCTGCCTGCCCATTGATGGGAATCAGTTGTGTATATGAACATGCAGCTCACATACCTTACAGATTACAATCACCAAAACCCAACAGTTCTTTAAATGTGCTTACAGGAAATCATTGAATATTTGGGGGAAATGTATGCGTTGAAATTTCTGGCACTAGATTCAGTTAGTGTCTCTCATAAGTGACAGCAATGTGTGTTTGTTTGCAGGGCTCCGTCACATATCAATCCTGAAGCTGGTGGGAACTGACATGGCAGATATGGGTGGAGTGTTGGAACTGTATCCCATTAATGGTGAGAAACTTTATGATTGACTTGTATATTTCTCAGAAGTAATCCAAGCCACATACCTAGTGTTAAATTCCATCAGTGTTGCAACTGTCAGAAAAAAGTGCAAGAGTATTAGAGTAATGAATGAACAGTCATGTATGACTACTGAATAATGCTTTGATGGATGGCTGCGCGTGCTAAACTGACTCTTGTGGTGCCGTTGCTGTAACTGAAAGAAAACAAACATGTGGCTAATTCGGCAGCCAGGTGTTCAGCTCCTGGTTTGAGGGTCAAATTAGAGCTTTTCAGCGTGTAGTTGTTGACATTAGCAGCTTTGCTCAGCTGTAACGCCAGGAACAGCAGGGAGGCTGTGAAGGCTGGACCACGCCTTCTGTAAATCTGTATCTCCTGTTGAACCCTCGGCCCTGGAGGGCTGGGTGAGGACCACAGCATTCCAACAGAAAATAAGACATAATTATGGGTTGCAGATATACTGGCGCAAAAGTGAATTACTGTGACTCTCCCCCGTCTTATGGTTTTTATTATATAGCAGCTGAAGTGATAAGCCCAAACACTGTGAACCATAAACAGCCCCGTCCACAGTACAAATTAAACATGAGTGCACCATTTGAACATTTAGTGTTGGTACAGATTACTTTGCAGTGGGGGGTAGGCTTCCTTTTTCCACTCTTCTTTTGTGCTCTGTTGAATAAAAACATATATAATGTTACATTGCGCACTAGTGTGGACTGTTAAACTGTATAACTATTATTATTATTACTATTATTATTATTATTACAACCTTATTATTACTATTACCAACTTCAATTCCAAAAAAGTATGTGTAAGGAACAGTACGTAAAAAGCAAGTAAAAACAGAAAGCAGTGATTTGTAATCCATTTTGACCTACATTTCAATGAAAACAGTACAAATATATGTAATATTTTATCTTACGAACTTCATTGTTTTTTATAAATGTTGTAAATATACACTCATTTAGAAACTGATGCCAAAAAAAGTTGTTCAACAAATGTTCAACAAATCTAAAACAGGTGATGCAGTCATGCGTGGAGGTTTCCCTCCAGGAAAGGCCTGGTCTGTGAGCAAGGATGGGCCGAGACTGGGCACTTTACCAAAAAATGCGTCAGCAAATGGTGAGGCCATTCATCTGAAATGGATTTCAACCATTTATGGAAATAATGGACTACTCTGTCTCAAAATAGAAAAAGGACCATCCAGATTGTTACCAGTGTAAAGTTCAAAAGCCAGGGTGTGTCATTATATGGGTGTGTATTAGTGTCCACTGCATGGGTAACTTGCACATCTGTGAATGCACCATTAACTATATACATATATACACAACTATATACGCAACAATATATGCACATTTTGGAGCAACAAGTACTGCCTTCTAGATGACGTCTTTTTCAGGTGTGTCCATGCTTTTTTCAGCATGACAACAGCAAGCCACATTCCACACGTGTTAAAATAGCACAGCTGCATAATCAGAGAGTGCTGTACTGGACTGGCCTGCCTGTCTGAAAACATATGGTGCATTATTTAGTGAAAAATACTGAAGACTGAAGACTTGTATACTGGAAGAATGGCAAAATTTCATAACTGGACCAGTTGGTGTCTTCAGTCCCTAAATGATTATTAAGTGCTGTTACAAGGGAAAGTGGTAAACGTAATTTGGAATGAGCATATATTTATATATATATTAATGTTCATAAGGTAAAACATCAAATGTTATGTTTAACACAGGTTAATCTGAATTAACTAACCACTGCTTTCTATCTGTTTTTATTAGCATTTCACCTATTTTTTATTTTATTGAGGTTTGCATTATTATTATTATTTGGCGTATCATGACATAATTATCCAAATATCCAGATAAAAAACTGTGGTATAAATTTAAGTTCATATTGCCTACCCCTACACCAATCCTGAAAGCAGGGAGACGTCTCCACATTTTTCTGCATCCCTGAAAGCCGCAGCCGTTCTGCGTATGCTTGTGCAGCTGCTGCTGCACTGAGTGTGAGGCTTTCATGTGTTTCAAAAGCTGCATCAGCAAGTCCAAAGGATGGCCTCTGTGATGCTTTTAGATCAAACAGCTGTTTGAGTAAGCAGTATTAAAAGGGCAGACTTTAGAAGCAGCCACAAGACCTTCCAAGGCGCTCCCACATGAGACATGAAAGCAAGGCTAAATTCTGAGGATGTATGTCAGTCTTACAAACATAAATCTGTTTTTCAAATGTGTGGACAGGGATTGTTTTCTTACATTTTTGCTTTACGTAAAAAGCTCTGCTTACAATGTTATTCCTCCTTTCTAAGCCATCCCAGTACCTTAAAATGACCTGCTGCTTTCATCGTTTCTGCTGTGAACAGTGTTTTTACAGATGGATGAGAGGATATGTTAAAGAAACTTAGCCTCTCGCTCTGTTAGCCTTGACTCCTCCATACCATCTCATACTGCACTAGGCTGCCCAATGCTTAGACCTTGTATCTGACTTAAGATCAAGATATATATATAAAGCATTCTACTGAATTAGTTCAAACTGCCGTCTCACAGAAAAAAAAAAAAACAATGAAGTATTCAGACCTTTATTAATTTAATTTAAAAGACCCCAGCAATCTCACATGTCTCCACTTGAGTTTTACTAGAGATCTCAGTAAAGTCACTTGTGCTCAGCTTTGCAGAGATTAAACAAAGCTCATATCATCTTTAGATAAACTCTCATCTTTTATCTCTCCTGTATCTCATGTCTCCTTTTTGTCTAACGCTATTGCTGAGAATTTCCTGAGCCATAAAAGAGCAACATTTAAGCGTTAAGATTTTCCTGTGGGTCATCCCTTAACATGACCATGAACAGCCTGCTACGACAGGAAAGAGCCGTTTGACTGCCATGCAAAATAACCAACCATAGACTGTTTTTTCAGGGTGACGTATAAGAGCAGACTGTTTTCATAACAGGGCTACTAGAAAAACATCCCCAGGGGAAACACATCAGTATGTGTCAGCAAACACGCAAAGATATCTCACTTAAAAGCTACTAAAGGCTTCAAAGAAAGCCCTTCAATAAGTTTTAAAGACACAAAGCCATGAACTTCTTTTTAAATCCAGACCCAATATCTTATTCCGACAGGCGCAGTCACAATGTGTAGAGCTGGCAACCGCTTGCAAAGTTTGTTTCCTGTCAGAGAGATAAAAAGGACATGTGGAAAGCCAGTGAGAATGAAAATGGCAAAAAAATTGTAGGGATTGTGAGTTGTGGCCAGCTCAACATGCAAAAGATATCAGATGCTCCGTTTACAGTCTGAGGCTAAGACCACACTCCTGCTACCTTGGAAATAATGCTATACCTCACCTATGTTATCTCCTTGTTGTGATGTCAGCACTCATCAGTACTCAAATCTTTCAGGTGTGACAAAATTAAATTTGTCAAAATGTCTTTTTAATAACAGTTGGAAAAGAAAAAAAGTTTTATTATTAAAACTACTGGAGAAAGTTATTTAACCCCTTAAACTCTTATTACATACTAAGGCTTATTATTCTGTAACTACATGGACTTCAATGCAAACTTGCTGAGCCATTCTTAGGTTATAGAAGTTTGTAATAAATTTTGGGCTCGCCAGCAGGTCCTGGCCCTGTGGGGTTAAACAAAACCTGCTCTTTCTACTAGAGAAAGACACTTTGATGAATGTAAGGCTGAGTGTTGCAAAATATACCCAAAGTATTAACAAAATCGCATATTAAGAAAAGCTTTGTAACTATTTTGTTCTCACTTGTCGCCTTAACAGGTCCAGGGATCCATTCCTTGTGCCTAAAACTTAAATATTCAGCCGGTTTGCACTGCTTTCCAAGTAGTCACAGAGCCTTAGAATGTCATAGTGCCCATTATCAGGCAAAAACAAATTTTCCTCGCTTTTTTGGAATAAAACAGTTTGATGTAGTATGTAAATACTATTAAACTCAACTCCCCAGTCAGTACAGTCCATACAGCCATATGCAAAAGTTTGAACACCCCTGGTTGAGTTACATTTAGTTGACTTTCTAAGTGAAAATATGTTAACACATCCTCAGGGAACAAACTTCAATATGGCATTTTTTCTGCAACTTTCAGTGCAAAGTTTTTGTTTAGTTGTTGAGTTTAACATATTGGAAAAAATAAAACTTAAAATATAAAAAGTGCCATAACTTTTGCACAGGCCACATTTTGTGTTTTAGTTTTTTCCCCCATTACATTAGATTCTTCAAGTAAACAGTAACTATGTAATTGGATCAGGGTATGCAAATTTGTGCATAGGACTATATATGGAAACCAAGCAGTGTGTTTTGAATTCATTGTTTTTGTGATGTCATTAAAAATCAATTCATTTGCATAAATCTGCCCTTTCAGGCTTCAGCAGTTTAGCACTGAAGTTATAAGGAGTGTTTCTTTTTGAATGAGGCACAAGACAGGACATCCCATCAGAACAGATCCGTCTTAAAGGCACAATAACGAAAACCTGTTTAATTCTAACGGAGAGATGTTTGAAAATAATCATGCAAAAGTGAATGAAGACTGTTTTTAGTACATAGAACCACACAAACATCATAAAGTGAAAAAATAAAATGCAAGTGGATCCTTTAATATCAGTCAGAACATTTCCAAAGAAGGCAGACTTTTTACAGGCAGTGTACATATGTGTGTTCCAGGCAGTGCCACGGTGGAGCGTGAGGGCTTATCTGCCACGCTCGTGAAGGACATCAGGAACTACTTCCAGATCAGCCCAGAGTACTTCTCCATGCTGCTGGTGGGCAAGGATGGCAACGTCAAGTCCTGGTACCCATCGCCCATGTGGTCCATGGCCATCATATACGACCTGATCGACTCCATGCAGCTCCGCAGGCAGGAGATGGCCATCCAGCAGAGCCTGGGCATGCGCTGCCCCGAGGACGAGTATGGCAACTACGGCTATCACCATGGCTACCACGAGGGCTACCAGGATGGCTATCACCAAGGATACGGTTACTGAGGGGTGTTGGGCAGCCTGTGACCTTTTCAGACAGGGCTGTGTTTTCCACTGGACTGAGTTTCAGTGTCAGAGGTCACCTTCCATACTTCCTCTTTACTGTTTTTCCATTAATCATTTACAGCTGTCAGCGTTTGAACATGCCTCTTTCCTCCTGTAGGTTCACAGCCTCTCCCATACTGAGGCTGTATAGTGTTTCACAGCTATTGACAATCTTTTGTAGATAAAAGATGATATACTTTTGTATTTATTGGATGTTTGCTCTGAGTTAAGTGATCATTTTGAAGGTCACAACTTGCTTCTTGTTTGATTTTTGTTACTCTATTTTTAATGCACTGTTGCTTATATACTGTGTTCTTATTTATATTGATGCCAATAAAAACAGCCTGATTTCAAAACTGTCCCTTTGGTTATTAAGCAAAACATCAGCTTTACAGTAAAGTCAGAGTGCTTTGACTCTGCTGTAGTGTGTCCTCGTGGAGTTCTATTCACATTTTCTTCACTACATCACCCCCTGATGGTCAGTGTGGTTTAGCAAGGCTTTGCTAAAGACACCCTGAGGCCTACATGCTAAAGACTTCTAGACAATAAGGCCTCTGTACAATCATAATCTTCACTTTTTAAAGCCTGTTTTGCAGTTTTATTATATATGTAATTTTTTTTTAATGAAAACATTCTTCAAAAATAAAATTTATGTGCTTACTGCTTTGGTTCACATTGTATCATATGCAAAAGTTTGGGCACCCCTGGTCAAATGACATGTTTTGTTCTCAGCCTCAAGTCCTTGTACATTTAAATGCACGATTACTTTATCTATGCTGAATTTAACACATAGGGGAAAAAATGAATAAATAATGGCCATGCAAAAGTACACACACATTTTATATTTTATGTTAGATGTTTTTTTTTCCCCAATTTGTTAAACTCAGCAAATAAATATAAATTGTGCATAAAAAACTGCAGGAACATAGGATGTCTAAGTTTGTTCCCTGATACTTTCTTTTAGGAAATCAAGAAAACATTGTTATTTAACTGGGGGTGTTGATTTGACTTGACTCTATAAATCTTAAAGCAATCACAGCTTCATAACAGCACATTAATTCTATTTTTAAAGCTAGCTGGCATCTTTAAGCCATTGATTGTCACTGACACAAGGACAGGTAAGAGCTCTGGCTTTGGCACAACACATTCAAATTTCAGCAGATGACAAAATCCATTCATTGCTAAACTACTGTAGGCTGAACAGGCAGACATAAATGAATGTGTTGGTTTTTGCATCATCACAAAGACAACAAACAGGCTGTTTTGCAGCTTTGTTTCTATATATGGACTATATGGACTGGATAGAGGAAAATTCAGTTTTCCATGTTGTGGGCCGTTTCAGCCACTATCTATAAAGCACTGAAGCCATATTGTAGTCCAATATAAAACACACACACACACAGAAAAACTTGTTTTTAAATAAACCTGGAGCAGGGATATTGGCTCACTCATGCTACCTTCCCCAAAACTAAATGCTCTTCCATCCAGGCTTTCCCTATGTTCTCTGTATCTGTATTACTGTGTTTTACTGTCTTTTTCTTTTTTTATGTATTGATATACACGCAATAGCTCACAAACCCGTCTTTGTTTCTTGAAAAGTGCTTTAAAAGTATCATGTTTTATTATTAGTACCATAAAATTACCCATTTTCAATACTCAGCGCTACCTGAGACAATGACAACAAAAGTTTGCCATTCTAAAAATTACACTTCTTGAGCAGATTTATTTTAAGTGTTGCCAAAATAAATACTGCAGTTCCATCAAATAAAAATACTGCCGTTTTCCTGATGTGAATACATGACTTCATAAAGAAATCTATGTGAAATTCTACTAAAAGCAGGCAGGTAAGAGGAGGGATGCCATGGCACAAGAGAAAACACAGATATAATGCCTCACTGATGTAAATAAGCATTTTTATAAATTAAGGCTCGAGAAAATTACCAATGTAATTTCAAAGTTAAAAATATTTTTCATATATTTCCATTTTCCTTTTCTGTGCCATCTTAATTCTCAGTAAAAAGCAACTTCTGTAAGTAAACCCAGTACACAGTCAACAGCTGGTCAGTAGTAATTAATGCGAATGGACGCAAGTACTGAAGAACCACTTGAATGCGATATGCACTTATGATAGTAACAGTGGAATCAATGGAATATTATCTTGAGAAGAGCAAACACATTCCACTCTTTCTGAATATACACGGACCATTTTAAATAGAGCTATAAAATCTAACATGTTTAATACGCCATTTCAGTAATGTAATTTGTCTCAGTAGCCTAGTCACATTTGAGAAAACACCCATGAACATTTATAAGAAATACCACAATACACATATATATATATATATATGTATATATATATATATATATAGACAGATAGATAGATAGATAGATAGATAGATGGAGAGAGAGAGAGAAAGACAGACAGATAGTGCCATCATTACAGCAACAGCATTAGGCAACACTTTACTTGAAGCTTGCTGCATAACATTATAGCAAATGCCATATTCTGTTACTGTGTTACTAAGACAGATTTTTGTTCAGTAAGATAACAGTGTAATTTTACCATTACTCGTAATTGACAACACAGATGCCACGTTCGATGTCATGACTGCTAACTAGGGTACACTTAGCAGAAATTAGCATGTGACATAAGCTATCATGATGATTGATAACATGACAATGCTACAATCATATGTAAAAGATTTGACAGCCTTGGTCAAATGATGACAGTTCTGCACATACTAATACACCATTACTGTTTATTTGCTTAAGTTAATATATTGGGGGAAAAAACACATTTCCAATATGTTAAACTGAGCAAATAAATAGAAACTGTGCACTACAATTAGCAGAAAAATGCTTACTTAAGTTTGTTCTCTGTAGAGGATGTGTTACTTATTCTCACTCAGAAAATCAACAAAACATGTAATTTGACCAGAGGTGTTAAACAACGTACTGGATACAACTCTATATTACTGGAAAAAAAACTCTGATATCTATGATATATTGTGACATATGACATGTTTATGGCATGGTTATGTCAATATCATACAGCACGGTTCAAGTGTTTAAAGTGCCAAGCAGCATTATAAATACAGGCACATTAACAGGTCATTTACAAGATAATTACAGTCAGGTCACAGCAGTTGAAGGCTGGAATGTGAGAGGTTCATACAGGCTCAGAAAGACTCCTCTTCAGAATCACTCTCTGTGTTGGACTTGGTAAGTCTCTCCAGCTCTTCCCCATCCTAAAATACAAACAGCAGAAAAACACATACACGGTAAACACACATAGCCTGCATGACGGATGCACAATATGCAGCTGAAATGTAAATCACATCCTACATGCATAGTTACAAACACACTGACTCAGACATCAACTGACTCAACTAACTCGTAAGAATGATAAAATTCTTCACATAACTTTTGCACTTGAGACTATAAACAAATGGCTAGACAAAGTCTCCATTCACCTGGCTGCTAACCAGGTTCTTATGCTTCCTCCAAATATTATATTTAATTTAAATAAAGAAATTATCCAAGGTATGTCTGGGCTGCAATGAATTGCAATTTCATTACAGGGAATCAGGTTTCGTACCACTTTTCCTAAATCAGATTAATGCTCATCTAGTTGCCCGTCTACAAAGAGCCAACTGTGAACACACAAATAAAAGAAAACAACTGGTACACAGGAAAGGATGAAGATACTATATGGTGAATATTCACACTAGAGGTGGGCAACATAATGTTATCATTACTGTAATACATTACATAATGGGCAGCATAAATCTTTCTCTAAAACTGAACAAGTCTCGACTACAAGTATTATAAAACAGACAAATTTAGACCAGTTATAAAGAGACTGTAAAGAACAACAACCAATGTATAATAACTACACACTGAAAAAGTGAAAAGTAGCTGATTGTTGGCAAATAAATTAATGTATAAATTATACTAATTTAAAATTGTTTGATTTTCTTCCTCCTGTGCCTTCATTTTGAAAACATTTAATAACAAAAAAATAATAATTTGTACAGTACTGAGCGAAAGTCTGAGACCACCCATCATTTACTCATTTATCTTCTTTTAGAAGATATTTGTGAGGAGATAAAACATAATCAACTTGCATGAGGAAGGGGGACAAAAGTTTCCAAAACTAGAGTTTAAATTTTTTTAAAAGATGTAGAGAAAATGGGACAACTGCACAAGACGTGGTAGACTGTCACTATCAGATAAACAGCACTTAGGTTTCCATCTTTGAGAGAGAGGAAAAAAATCAAGCTCCACTGTTGCTTCAGATCTGAAAACATCCATAAGTGTTTCTGTCCATCCTTCCACTCAATGCTATGAGTCTAAAAGTAAGTCTGAAAGGATGTGCAGCTGTCAAAAACCCCTTACTGAGAAAAGGAAATGGATAGAAAGAAAAAAAATTTGCAAATCAAACAAAAATGTTTTTGGGATTACTTGGATCGTGAGAACCTAATGGCACTTTTGACAGGAAATTAAATAAATGAAAGCTGACTTAAAGATGGATGAAATTAAGGCTGATACCATGATGATATATTATGTATCATGAAAACAGCTTAAGGTGTCACTATGTTACACTTTTGCCATATCACCACCCTTAATTCAGACACACTAGATTTTGGGTTGGGTCCTTACCCCTCTGGACCTCTCATACACCTCCCCGTTGATGACCCTGAGCCGCTCCTGTTGCAGTGCATACTCTGGGTCCTTCGGTTTGCTGCTGTGGTAGATGAAAATAGCCAGCAGCACCACAGGTGCCTGCAGGAAGAAGTCTAGTGACGGGTGAAAGTCAAAGAGGAAAAGTGAAAGTGCCGTGATGATCACCGTGGTGATCTGGCCCGTCAGCACATGAAACATATTGTCACGGAACTTCAGGATGAAGGCCACAGACAGGCCGAAGGCCGCAGTCACGAAGATCAGCATCACGGAGTAAGCATTGTGACCATGCAGCAGGCCACAGTGTAGAGTGACCACCCGAGAGTCACTGTGCAGGAGCAGCGTAAGGCCATTGAAGGCCAACCCGAAGGCATACAGTCTGCTGTTCTGGATGAAGATGCTCTCGGCCAGCTGCTCACCATCCTTGAAGATCTTCTCGTTGTAGATGTTGGCCAGTGGTGAGATGAAGCACTGGAGCAGCAAAAGCACGTAGCCAAAGCCGAAACTGCGAAGACGCTGGAGGATCTGACTGCCCTGCAGCTGCTGCGGTAGACCTTCCAACCAGCTGGAGTTGCTGCGGTCGTGCCAATCCGTCTCCAAACGAGTGTAGTTGAGGCAGCTGCCGGAGGGAGTGGAGAGGTGTGCTGGGTGCAGGATGTGTGTGGAGTTCATGTGCTGGTTACCAGCTGTGCCTGTGGACAGTGCCACAATGGAGAGGAAGAGGATGATGAGGGAAGCCCACTGTACCCAGGACAAGCGCCTCCTGCAGAGAGCAGCGGGAAATTACCATGGCTGCAAGAGATGGCTGACAAGTCTAAGAATGATAATCTGTCTCATTCTTAGTCCCACGTTTAGTCTCATTCTTAGTCCAACATCAATTAGACATTAGAAATGTTACTTAATTAAAAATAAAAGCACTGTCTATGCTGGAATGCTGTCTACTGTTCATATGATGCACACAGTCATTCTGACAGATTGCAATGCACTACAGTAAGCACTTGGGGTGATGCGGCTTCTGTTGTTTCGTTGCACCGTAGAAGATGAAACAGATGTACAGAAGAAACTTAATGAAGACAGTGAAATGCAACAGCAGAAGGCATAATGATTTGACTTCTCAATTAGACAAATAATTCTTGATTGTAGAATAATCATTAGTTACAGCTTTTCCAGCTCTGCAGGTAACACTGCTGCTCTCCACATAGCAGACTCAGTTTAGATTTCCTGACCGGGGCATGATTTACCAACAAGAGTCCCTGGACAAGACTAACACTTCACTTCCCTTCATTTATAACTTGATTACACAACAGCCTTCTGCTGTTGCCTTTCACTGTCTTCATTAAGTTTCTTCTGTGTATCTGTTTCATCTTCTATGGTGCAACACTAGAAGCTGTATTGCCCCAACTGCTTACTGTAGTGAACTGCAATCTGTCTGAATGACTTTGTGCATCATATGAACAGTAGACAGCATTTTAGCATAGACAGTGCTTTTGTTTTTAATTAACATTTCTAATGTCTAAATGATGTCTAATCAATGTTGCCCTGGGGGACTAAGAATAAAGACTAAAAGTGGCTCTGGATAAGAGCATCTACCAAATGCATAAATGTAAATGGAACCAAATCAACTCTTTGGATTATTATGAACTGTTTTAGTTGTGTAAAGCCCGTTTAACACCAGACACAGTAACCATGCCAATTGACGCAACGTGCCACATGCAATACACGCCTGTGTTAATCAGTGTAGCCATGTGAGTCACGTGGTTGCGCAGCACTGCAAAAACGCATTTTGTGTCTATTTTGACACTGCAGCACACAGCATGCTAGCGTTTCTAGCTAGAAACAGTACAAAATTCAACATTCTTGCTATAGCGTGCAATCCAAGCCCATAATCAAAAAAGCAGACAGCTGGTTTTAAGTTGTAGCAGCAGCATTGCACTAGTATAAACTTCAGGATCGTTCTTGAGTCTGTTGGACTGATCAGGGAAATATAATAACTGAGGAATTGGCCAATCAACACCACTTTCAGACAGGTGAAAGCTAATACCAGTGCTCAAATGTTATCTACATAAAGTTTATTTAATTGGCAAAAAGAAAAAAGACATTTGCAGGTTATATTATCTCACCCATTGCTGAAAAAACAAATGTGGACAGAAAATACTTGTCACTGCATCAACGCTGCACGAGTTGTATCCAGTGTGAAATAGCAAGTGTCACAGTGTAGTTTAGGCATAAAATTGTGAAGCACTTGGCATCTCCATGACTAAAGCTGAGAACTACAGAACTATAATTTATTGTGAAATTAGTGTGACTTCCATACTTACTTCAAAATAATTCGGAACAGAACTGCTGTGGTAAGAATGACAACATTGGAGAACAATACTGCCATGGCCTGTAAAATACAGAATGAAATAAAGGCTGCATCAGTGTGATTTACTGATTCACTGAATGCTCTGAAATGTTAAGTACGTATGTGTGTAAGCTGTTCATACTAATATGCAGTAATATGTTATGAATTTCTATCCCAGCAGCATGTGTGGACACTGAAAACTGATGAAGCCCAACTTACAGGCTGCAGGTAGGTCATCACATAGAAGATAATGAGGTTGTCAAGGAAATACAGGAATGCAGGGACAGCCCACTTTAGACAGCTAGGAAGAGAAGAACCAGAGGAACAGCCCAAGTCCTTACATGAGCGACCCTCTGCAAAAGATATACACATAAAAGTCACATAATTATAAGTCTAACAGTCTTTAGTTGTTCTGCAAATGTAAATGATGTTTAGTGACAACGGATGGACAAATCAGAAAAAAGCTACTTTTAAAATTACAGTGAAAGGTTTAGAAGGTTTGTTTTACCCCAAAACTGGCACCCAAAGCTTACCTCGAATGATCACTCGCAGTGACATCACTAAACAGAAGATGAGCTTGACAGCCTCTGCCATTAAATTTACAGAGGCAGGGAGAAAGTCATACTTGTTATCTGCAAAAGTTGCAAAAAAATTAAATGATGAATGTTAGCAGGCCAACACTGTTCAGTCTCTTAAATTACTTACTTGAGGCAAGACCAATGTTTTCTAATGATTTAAACAACTTAAACAAATAGTGATGAACCTATTTGTTATGTATCTATCCTCGCGAATTACACTGCTAATTTAGTCAATGCAGATTTACATTATCTTGGTGTGTATGTAAGGTTATATTTCATATATCGCAGTTGTCACCTGAGATAACAAAAGCATGTTGTAATTTTACTCATTGTTCACCTAAAGTTTACTGAAATAAGTGGAGAAATTCTGTCGTGTAGGTTCTTCACTTTCAATCTATACTACATTTGTGTTTCTAAGTATAAAAAGTTTTACTACAGCGGCGACCATATGGACAGTGTTCCTCCAGAACCTTCTGTCTTCTGTTTGGGTCTTTAGGCTTCTGAATGTCTGGTTCATGATTCCTCTGATTGTATCCATCCATCTTGTAGCTGGTTGTTCTCTTCCTCTTTTACTTTTAACTCTTCCCAGCACAAGGGTATTTTAGAATCAGTTCTTCTCAGAATATGTCCAATATAAGGTGGCTCAATTTGCTTATCCAGGCTTTGAGTGAGAGGTGAGGCTTGATTTGTTTGAGGATCCATTTGTTTTAGGTTGATGGTTACAGGTTAGCTCAGCCACAATCACACTTACCTTCATTGGCGGAGAATTTGAGCAGGATGATACGACTGGTCCCCAGTGTGACAAACCCCAAGCCCAGAGTCAGAGTGTAGGCTGAGGAGCGAGAGCACAGCCAGAAACGGGGACAGCAGCAGCAGCATGAAGAGGAGGAGGAGGAGGAGGAGGAAGGAGCCATTCTGGAAAACAGGAGCTGTGGCTAAATCCAGCAAGACAAAAAAAAGACACAATCAGAAGAGGCAAGACCACCTGACGAGTTTATCAAATAAGAGTGAGAAAGGTAAACAACACACTACAGCAGCTTCATGAATAATCATATGTCTAGAAACCTTGAAGGAGCTCAAAGGAAAGGTTTGTTTTCTGAGCTAACTGAAGGCGTGTAATTAATTAATAAGCAAAGGTCAAGCCAGAAACATTCACACAACACAAGACTGAGTCTAACAAAGTGGTGTTTAATTAATTAGGCCAGGAGTCAGAGGGCCTTAAGAATGTTTGGTGATTTCTTTGTGCTGACACATCTGATTCAACTCATCTGTCAAATTCTAGGTTTAGTAGGTGTGTTTCAGCAGGACTAACTAAAACTAAACTAAACTGGCCTGTCCTGTTGCAGGGTGTTACCTAGACCTGTACATACAAAAGGGCAAATACAAGGCAACTAACTTAGAGGCGACTTAAGATTTTGTGGAAATAACAAAGGAATTATTCTAATCTATGTGGGTTTTTTGAAGGAGAGAGGGCAAGAAAAGGTTTACAATAACTGAGACCAGCTGTGTATGTGAAGGTTCTCTATGCCAACAAAAAGCCTATAGGAATCATCTCTTCTTCAATACTGTACAGATTTGCTGATAAACCCAGAGATACTGTGTTTTTTAACTCCAGTCCCACAGACCACCTGCACAGGTTTATGCTTTCGTGCTCTAATTCAGTAAATTCAGTTCATGAAGGCTAGATTAAACAAACTGGAAAAGTAGATTAATTAAATAAAACAAAAAAAAGAAGACAGACAGATAGATAGATAGATAGATAGACAGATAGATAGATTCAAGGAATTCAAGGAATATCACAATCTGTGAGAGACTTGATCATAATGCTGCTAATGACGTCACTCAGGTGCAGGAACACACGACACTACACTGCAGGTGAAATGTAACCTGCTGAAGTCTACAGGACTGAGCCTGGAAACTCTGGTCGAGATCACTTCCAATGCTGGACAGGGCGGGCTAATACAGTGACAGCGCTTTAAATGACCACAAAATTACTGTTTACTTGTGAAAAGCCACCCTAAACTCTAAAAGAGTGAACTCAACATCAACGATGAAACGAGAAACAGGTGCTACTGCGTGTCCATGATATGATGAGCGCCTAAAGCTGCTCTGAGCTGCAGCGTTAACGTCAGTCTGAAGTTACTGATATTATTGACATCATTGATCAGGCTGCGCTGCGCAGCACCGCGGTGAAAACACAGCACGCAGAGCTCGTCACTCACACTGCATTACCGGAGACTAAAGAACAAAGGAGATGAAGAAACGCGACACACAGCTTTATTAACCAAGGACATCTGGGTTTTATTATTACCTTCTAACTACCTATCAGTCCATCTGCACACACTCCTCTTCCCAGTTCCACGCGAATCAACCAACACGCATGCGCAGAATTAAGAACGACGCCATCAGAGGTGCGCATTTTCACACGTAAAGTCCTCTTTTCGATACAAGCGTTCCTTAAATAAACAAATAAATAAATAAATAAATAAATGCATTGTATGTGTGTAAATTGCATGAAGCCACATTGAGTGTAATAATTTTGTATTGGAATTTGTGTAGTTAATAAATAAATAAGTGTTGTTCTGGGGCAGAAGTGTCTTTAGGATTAGGATAATCGCCTGTGTGGTAAAACCATGGCAATACTAACCCATGTAATAATGCCAAACGATGAATTACACTACAGAAAGAACTACTAGGTCAACCTTCAGAAAATGTTGTTTTCCCACTTCAGTCCGCCTCTGCTTCAGTCCTAATTAAATTTTCAAATTTTATTTTTTTTTCAATTTTTAATTTGATTTTTAACTATCCTGATTTTATTTCTAATTTGATTTTTAAATAAATACATTTTAAATAAATATTTTTAAATAAATAAATTGTTTTAATCATGTTTTAATCATGTTTTTAATTTCTATTCTCCTTTACTTTTTTATCCGACCATATTTTATCATTTGTAAAGCGCTTTGGATGACAGCAGTGTATGAAAGGTGCTATATAAATAAACTTGCCTTGCCTTTGCATTGCCTTACATTTTTACAACCCTGTTTAGATTGATTCCAATTAATTGTGTTATATGTATTTGTAAAATACTTTTGAACTGTTCAAATAAAAAGCAAAAAAGTTTTCTTGTGTTTTGTATAACTCTTACAAATATTACTTCAAAGCATTTAGAGTTTTTTTCTCCATAAACAAAAAAACTTTTCTTGTATTAGTAAATTTAAGTAATGAAAAGTGATTACCAATTAAAAAAAAGATTATTATCATTATAAATATATACATATTCTTTTTTGAAAAAAAATTAATAATGAATTTGTATTTGTAAAGTGAGAAAACAGAATGACAGTACTGACTTGTCTGATGGGTCTGATGGTCATTCTGCAAAAATAACAAGATGATGTAAATTACTGTGTATGTCATAGTAAATGGAATATTCCATTGTTTTACAAGGGGGACAAGTTTGGTGGCAATAATAAGTAAGATGGCACCACTCTGAAACCAGGTATCAGTCGAGTCTATATCAGCAGGAAATGCTTCATCAGATATTGGAGGGGAAAAAGAATATATAAACTTCTGTAACAAATTCATCCTAAAATAGCACACTATTACATCGGGCCTTATTCACCAATATCTTCCTAAATTATTTCTTAAATTTGCTCTTGAGAAATACTTCTAAGAAAAAGTCTACTTCATATTCGTGACATGTTCTTAAACCATGGAGTTGTTCACACCTTTGTGCTCTTGAGTGTGTGTAGATTCTGTTCTTTCCTAAGAACAAATCCAAAACAAGAAAACATTGGTGAATGTCAGAATCTTCGTGAAAAATGCGTAAGTGGGTTTTAAGAACAAATTTCTTCTTAAGAACAGTTGGTGAATGAGGACTTTTGTTAGTTGTGTAGTTCTTCTTGTGGACAGTAGCAGAGAGTATTAAAAATAACTCATTTAGGACTAGATTTTAAAGCGTAGTTATTGAATTATGTCAGTACTGGCTGTTACTCAAGGTGTCAATGTTGGTAGTGTTATCAGAAAAAAACATCATGCTACCAGTAAAAGTAACAGTGGTTAAACAACAATAGTATAACCATAAAACTATGTTTACCACAGTATGATAAGAGCACCGTTAATTTTCGCTAACTGCTGTCACTATCCCACATCTGTACGCAAAAATCACACTACGTCTGGACTTTCTTAAAGTAAATACAGTCCTATTTGTTCTAGTGTTCCAGAGTAGACAATGAGGCATAAGCATTTTGGGGTTAAAACGCTCATTAGATTAATATGAAAGAATCCCAGAATAACTTTATGCAAGTCTATTTTTCCCAGAGTCTGTTTCCTGGACACAAATTATAGCCCAGACATGGCTGAAATGATTTCCGGTGGAGGATCTCCACTGACAGTGTTTAGTCTCAGTTTAAGATTTTTTTTTTTCTGAGTCTAGAGTTTTAATATCCTTCACTTCAGCCTTACATCAGTTGACCAGTTTGCTGGCTGAAAGTTTATGTAAGTTTTGCTCTCAGTAAGTGTAGCTTTAGCTTAAGCTACAAAGGACTATCCTCACAAGCTGTTTTCATGGAAGGCTCATTACAGTTTTACAGCTGCTTGCCACATTTATTTAAATGTGTCCCCTTCAACAGTAAACTGTTGTTCAGTGATACACAACATATGAAACAGATTCACAGCTCTAGAAAATGGTCTGAGTTATAATGGGCTTCCATTTGCCTCTGCCTGTGTGACATTCATTGCGGAAGTTTTTCATTAGGAGAATTCCACATCTCCACCACTTTTGGGCATGTCAGTGACCTTCAGCTTCTGAATCTAAACAGATGTGCAAAATGCCTGGGGAGAGTTTTGCATCAGATAATGATGAAATTCTAAGCAATTAAAGTTTTCTGAAGCGGAAGATCTATGATGCGTGTCATTGTAACTGTGCCAGTAAATGTCTCAACTGAGCAGAAATATTTCCTGCTTACAGTAATATGAGGGTCTCCTTGGAAATTTTTCACAGTTAACAGATTTTGTAAAAGCAAGACATTCACAGCCTAGTAGTTATGTTTAGGTAAGTAGTTACTTCAGTAAATGTGCTATTTTTGAATTCTGCTCAAAATGAGCTAAAAATGTCAATGCCGAAACATTTGGGAAAGTTTTGGCAGTGTTACGATTGTATGGAAAATGGAAAGTTTAGTTATTTGTTTTAATATAATAAACATAAGTAAGACATAACGTCACTCAAAGCAAAAGGAGTCTTTTTTTAGTTTTAAGTCCAAGTTCAGTTAAAATCCTAAAATGGGTTTTTTCAATCTGGTAAAATGATCCATACACTGTCAGAAATAAAGGTGCTGTGCAGGTACATTTTTCATTCATCAAGGTACAAATAACAAAATAAATGCACCTTTAAAAGTACAACCATGGTTTTAAGGTTCAACTGTGTACCTTAAATCAAATTTTCATAACCTAATATTTTAAAATAGAACAATAAAATAAAAAGCCTGATGAATTGCAATAGATTGTGATACAACTATGTTCCCTGTGAGAAGAGAGTTTCTGCCCCACTGAAAGTTTAGTACCTGTATATCATATTTTATAATACTATAATTCTGATTCCTTCTATTAACCATTCAAACTGACGTTTTGATGAAAGTCATGCAAACTATCCAAATGACAACAACAATCATCAAAATGACAAAGAATTCTGGATAATGATCATCTTATTCTCTGTGGTTATGACTAACTCTCATTTTATTCCTCCTCGATGTAGCACATACTTGCCTGGAACATGCTGTCTTTACCATTTTTGTGTGGTTAAAAAAAACAACAGAGAACAGCCAATGTTGCTTAGTCAGCTTTGTAGCCAAACAGAAATGTGGAGATTAATTACAGATAGTCCATCTTCATTAACACTGGGTTTAATACTAGGCTTATATGAGTGTAATTCTGTAATGAATGTATTTGAATGATTTTTTTCTATTTTCTTTTTGTCATTCCAGTGTAAAGATTAGTGTCAGTCATAAATGCTATTAATTAAACATGTTGTGAGCTATGGATGCAATTAATGTCATTTTTAAAATTTGAGTAAATACATTTTGCTGAAGATGTATGAGATGTGTGTGCATGAGAAACAATTTTTATAGTAATGATAATATTTCATGCCTAAAAATGTGTATTAACAACTTCGTCTAGTTGATTTTTACCCTAAAGTTTCTTTTTGTAAGAAAATCACTGACTGTTCTACATTTAGGAAACTTACACTGGAAGAGACATGATGTGAATAACGCAATATTGTGAGCTATTGACACCCCTGATTTTAACATAGTAAATTCTGCTATAGCCGTGGCTAATGAGAAATGCCCTCTACCTTTAAAGGACAAATCAAAGATCGATTGCAGAACGTCATGTGCATCACTTCCGTGCTACTTGTTTAGCTCAGCTGACAAACTGCCAGTACACGCAGGTTTATTTACCTTTTCATACATATTAACCATGGACTCGAAGTCCAACATGAAGTCGAAAAAAAGAGTTTGTTCACCCCTCATTCTATATTTGATCGCATTCTCTGATTATCCTCATATGGACTTCCTTCCTGTCACGTCAGATGCTGAATATGTACAAACAGTTGCTGAGATGTTAATATTTGACCCTGTAGATCTTTCATCCTTTAGGGTCTTTGTACTATGACAACAGGATGATGTCATTCTTCCTGGCAGAGAGCACTCATATTACTGGGAGCTGACTCTTGATGTGATCCCAAAAGCTGGTGACTCCCCACCCCCGCCTGCTGTGTCACCTACATGTATTTCCCCCCACCAAGCAGTGTCAAACCGTGACTATTAGATCTAGGCCTTCAGTTCGGGCCATAAATGTTAAAACACAGTCAAAAATGAAAAAAAAAACTCTACAATAATGTTAATTTCTGCTTGCACCCCTATAGGATTCTAATAGTAGGTTAGCCCTTGGCTAATGGCAATTCACATGAACTTTCTTGGTCGTTCTAGAGTAAACACGGACATCTGAATCTTGTAAAAGGCGCTCCGTGTTTTATTCAAGGCTTCGAACAGACACATTAGCATACGTTTGACCTTGTATATTATGTATATATGCTTGTTTTTTACAGTGACTCATTCAGTAAAGAGCCCTGACATAGAGCTCTGCTGTTTCCATTTCTGACAACTGACTGGCAGACTTTGGTCACGCTACCACCATTTGCAGTCAGTGATGTATCTAGGATTTTCAGAAGGTTTAGAGTTATATTCTTTGTTACAAATTTGGTCCCACCCCTTGAAAAACAAAACATCACTGACTGATTACACCATCATTTATTGTTATGCAATTACATCAGATTAACACTAATTATGTCAGTAGTTAATCCGACTAGTTAGCCCTTCAATCCAGTTCCTGAAGTC